TCTCTCTCTCTCTCTCTCTCTCTCTCTCTCTCTCTCTCTCTCTCTCAGCCATTGCTATGCCTTTGCAAATTCAAGGTTCCTTCCAATTGGTTCAGATTTCTCATGTATAATCTTAAATCAGTAAGAAATTCCATAAATATTTCCTACATGGGGTTTGGAAAATGTATGGTTAATGAAATGCGAGTAAGAATTGTAATCTTGTCATATGAGAACACTCCACATATTGTTTGCCTTTTACATTTTTGTGTACCAAACTGTCTTTGCAGCATCTCAAAATGTGTTTTATTTGTTTTTACTTTTAAGGGTCATGTCTCATCAAGGTAGAAATTTGTACTTTATATTGTCAGCTTGTTTTATTTATCAGTTGTTGATGTGCACATAAAAGTTTCTTACTGGTACCTGATTTTTTTATTTAATTATGTAGGTATGTTGTAATGCTTGTAAGAAGCCGATCAAGGCAAGTCAATATGCTGCTCATGAAGGTTTGGAGGCCTTTTTCTTTGTAACCAATCTTTCCTGATTTAGTCATTTATGATTTAAATCAGGCACAATTATGCACATAAAACAATTTTGCATATACATGAATCCCGCTCTTGGAATTGAATTTAAGACTAGTTTATTGTTAGTGTCTGTAATTTTGATATCCATTTATCCATGTTTAATGTAAGTTCTGTTGTCAATCAATAATTATTGTTCTCAATTATGTATCTACAAGTGTATAAATAAGGGATTTATATTGTTATTGTCTACATTTGGTGTTGCTCTCTAGTTGGCACCACTAGCTCTGAATTTTAAGTCGTGTTTTGGTGGTGTTTCACTGAAATTGTTTCTTTTTTTCCTTCTGATTTTCCAGAACTCTGTAGGTCATTAAAAACCACCGAAGAAACTATTTTGGAGCTTGATGGTAGTACCGGGCATAGGAAACCTCCAAGGAAGGAAAGGAAGAAGTCACTAGCTGCATATGCTAGTATCCTTTCTTTTCACCTATATTTTTCTTTTGTTTTTTAAATGTATTTCAGTTTTTTGTTGGTTCTGTTGTTCAGTTTAAAACCCTATTGTTTAATTTGTTACATTTTGGACTTATATTTTTGATGTTAATATTGCTTTCTTAAAAAGGAAGTATCAAAAGTGCTGAAAAAAGTTTGTGATGTTTTTTCTTTAATGAAAATTCATTTTTTCATTGTCTTGTGCTTTATATTAAAGTAGTGTCTTATATTTTTGGTTTGATTACAGGGAAATTATATTTCATTGTTGTTTCATATATTCATAGTTCTTAACCTCTATTAGACCAACCTACACCAGTTGGGGAGCAGGAAAGATCTGAAATTATTGATGCTGATGATACTACAGCATCAGAATCCCACATAAATGGACAAATTGGGATGCCTTCTTCCTTAACCATGGATGCAAAAAGTAGGTGGATAATGTTGTTGATTCCTTTCGTTTTTTGATTTGTTTTTTTTATTTTAACACTATGATATTATGAGGTAATGTGTCTAATGTTAAATGCAGTCAATATTTACTTATTATGTGCCAGTTCTCTAATTGCTGCAAGTTCTTCATTACTTGAGCTTGATGTATTATTCCCTTTATCTTTTAGGAAGTTCTGCTTGTGTAGATACAGCATATGTGATGGATGGCTCAGGAGTTAGTTCTGATAATACAGACCACTCGACCTCTGTAGTGCCACCCTCAACAAAACGTTTTAAACTGTATGTTTCTTTTGTTGCTTTTTGTTTTTTCATTTTCATAATATTACATTGATCTTAATTTTGATTATCTACTTATAGTTTAGCATGATAGAAGTGTCATTTCTTAAACACATTGCACCTGAGTGTACTCATAATTTCCTTTCTCTTAATTACTGTTGATTTTAGACCAGTTTACTCTTTCCAGAGATGTTCTTCTCCTGTCTGTTTTTTTTCTTTCTTTTGGGATGAGAAGTTTGTGTATTCTTTTGGCTGTGTAGCTTAAACATGGAGTGTTTGAATGTAAATGTTAGAGAAAGATTTTAAGTGGCTGTGCATATGAATATTAGGTTGATACATTTCTTTAGCTATCCAGTTCTCCAAGCCTGGGGATGATTGTTTTTATAAAATGCCCTCTCTGTGATATGGTTTGAGGCTTTGCTGTGCCAGGCTTCTTATAACCAATCAAGAGATTATAAGCTTCTGAGGGAATTTATTAGGAAATCTCTCATTATTCAACTTTTGGCATTCTTACAGTTCTTATTAATCAGTTGATAATGCAGTTTTCATTTTTTCCATTTTTGTAGGGTAGCTGGTGACCGCCTTCTCCTGCCAGATGGTCCAAAAACAGCTTCTGGTGTGGCAAAAATTCAAAATACACATGACTTACATGCCTGTAAGGCCAGATTTAGTTTGTTGTTGTCATTCTATTTCCTAAATTTTCCCAGCAGAACATTCTCTATGTTAGCTAATGCAGAAGGCTTTGCTTTATTATAAGAATTCTGAATTTTTTAAATGAGAATTTAGGTCTGGCTATGAATCAAGATTCTGGAGAACAGATAAATGCCTCACAAAAGACTATCCTATTACAAAATGTTGATCTTTGTTACTCATGCATCAATGATTATCATGCATGTTTGCAGCTAGAGATTCTGAAAGAGGAAGAGTTTCAGGATGTGAAACACCTAATGAGAGGCAAGCCCATAAAAACTGTTTGCTGACTAAAGGTAACATTACTGCTTTTACTTGTCTAAAATAGCTTCTGAATGTTGCATTGGACCTTCTTTTTTCATTCTTGACCTTCTGTTTTTTCTGGCTCTGCAATTAAATCAGATATTCCAGTTCCTCTTAGTACCAAAATCTATTACTCTCAAAGAAACAGTCGTCTTCGCTTAGCGCTTAGTCATCAGTACTTTGTCACATCAACCAAAGAACTTTTCAGTGACATAGTTAGTCCACAAGCATCACAGCAAAGCATGATGCTGTTGCAGGCTTCATCTCAGGGCGTCTGTCCTCTTGATCAGGTGGATAATCTGCTTATTATGAAGGTTTGCCCTGCTAACTATGTTATTTGAGGCATTCCTCTTCCGTCTGACTTGACTTGCTTTAGCGCATAAATGAATGAAATAAATATTTCTTTTTGAATGTTGATTCTTTGTTCTTCATGCAATGGTTTCCTTTTAAATCATCCAATTCTGCATGTAAAGAAAAAAAAATTTCCCTGATTAATCCTGAGTTTTCGAGTTTTCCTCTCAAATCATCGTTTTAATTTTAGGAGGTCAAAAAAGAACAAAAAAGGGTCATTGGTATAACTTTGACAAGATGCCTAATTATTCATTCACTCCAATCTTTAAGATCCCATCCTTGGCTTCAATAATCAGTGGAATGCTCATTGCTTGAATCTATTAGTATCAAACACAAAGAAAACCAGCGCAGCTTTTGAAGGTTGATGAAGTGCCTTGTGACATCTCGTTTGTGATTCATATGTTTCATGCATCTAGAGGAACTAAGGCCGCAAGGATTTAGCAGCTTGTATATCTCCTTTACTGCCCTGCATTTCTCCTGAATTATTTTTTGAGGACTGAATAACTTGATTAATATCTTGTTCCTTGAAATACAGCAAGAGGCTTCTCTGCAAAAACCTGATCAAATTCTTGCTCAAAGTTCAGAAGTATGCTTGACTAAATCAGTAGGGTGCCTGCCATCCAATGACTTTTCAAATCAGCATCCAATTGATAATATTCCAAGGCCTCAGGCGGCAGCTGTTGGATTGGCACGAAGCAAATATATTTCGAAGCCTTATTCTTTTGCAGGCAACTCAGGTAGTCTATTAACCTAGCTGTATTATTGTTCAAATTTTTAACTTGTTTCTTGTTGAATCGTCTGCAAACTGTAAGCTTACGGTAGTTTGGTTTTTCTTTTGCGGTAGGCAAACTGCTGGGGCCCATGCAGCCTCCAAATGGGAGTGTTCCTGTTGTATAGGAAGTCCTGGTTGGAATTTTGCTAGGCAAAGGTGTATTTAGCGATACATGAGGATGAGAGTTAGGATCCATTTTTGAAATCCTAGAAAGCATATATCACTTCAATTTGTTCATTCTAGCCTTCTGAATTACACTCTTGACAGCCGGCCAGCTAGCCCTCTGTTTATAGTTTTGAAGGAAATAAAATAAATAGTAAATTATCTGTATTGTATAGCTAATGAAAGGTTGGTAGGATTGTGACAAGGTGCTCCGTTTCAATGAGAAAATCATGCAGAATTGTCCAGAGAGGGTCCTGGAAAAGTTGCCACCAACAACAACTGCCACTGATGCTAATGAAGTGGTGATTGACAATTGTTTGATGGCAACAGACTTGGACAGCCTCGTCTTTATGCCCGGGGTATTGTTAAATGTCCCTAACTTGCATTTGTGACATGGAAATTTCCACTACGCTAACAAAAAGAACATAAAAAATCTGCTTTGTTGATGTTGTGGCTTGTTAGAAAGAATTTGTCTCTTTGGGAGGTAATTGATTTTTGTAATTTGATAATGACATTAGCTGCAACTGGGGATTCTTAGATCAGATTACAGTGAAAATTGAGGAGTGGGTCTTCCACGACATGATCGGGCTTTTCCACATTTTGTCTTCTGTGAGAAAAGGGGATGGTGTGTTTTGGTTGGTTTAGCTTTTTTCTCCTTTGCAATGAGATTCAAAGTAGTTGAGACTTGGAAAACGCTATTTTTATCGTACTGTTTGGACCAAACTGGAATCATGTGGGCGCAAAAAGAAGATGGGAAGGAAGGTGGCTTAGCTGCTTTTAAGGAGCAGCTTTTTCAAGCTCTGTCGTGTTGTTTCATGCGCGGTGGATATGGATGGTGCTCGGTGTCACGGCTTTAAAGAACAGTCGGTGTCATAAAACGGTGAATTTCACATCGGTTATGTATTAAAATATAATTAAATATATAAATAATTTTATAATTTTTAATCTGTGAAATATCTCTTTATGAAATAAAATTATAAAATTTAAAAAGTCAAAGTGGACAAGATTTGCAATTGAAAAAGGGGCACAGTCCATATTTCTTTTTAAGTATGTGGCAGTCACATGCATTGCACTGTTTCCTGCGTTGACGAAATGGGGTTCCGAGAACGATCGTCTTCCCTGAAAGCCTCAATTTCTTGAATAAATCCAGACTCTCCCAAACTCATAATCAACTCCTTGCTGTATGCACTTTAAACCTCATGTCATCACATGGAAGGCTCTCAGCAGTGCTTGTTGAGTTGTGACGGAAAACGACTAATGACTTCTGAATCAAACCAAATTCCAGGGAACCAAGGAATGAAAAGGCTTTGCTCATTTATCACAAGGCCAAATAGAAAATAAAAGAAAAAAAAAGAAAGAAAGAAAAAGAGGTTTCCCTGTCTATGATGCTTTTTGGATTATGTAGAATGTTCCTATAAAAGAATACTTCCCACCAATTTTCCTTCGAATCAACACCCAAAATGTGACCTAGTCCTTATGCTTTCCCCCACGTTTAAGAAAATTACAGTTTAATTTAGTAAAGATTCCATAACTTCATAATCGACATCTTCACCCCTAGATTTTTCTCAGTATTACTGATATATCTTCCTGCCTTATCCTGCCGAACCTTGACCTGACAAGAGAGGATAGAATAACTTTACATGTATGGTACTGTTATAAAGGGCAAACAAATTCCTTCCGCCCCTCTGAAATTCTTTGTTTAGTGTAGAAAAGTCTATCCAGATACTTTGTAGGAGAATGTAACTATGGAATATTCATCCCACAAATATGATTCCCTTCATATTTATAAATTTTTTTTTATTCCAAAAAGGAACAAGATATATGCATCAATACCTATTTATAATTAATTCAAATATTCAGATTAATATGTTATAAAAAATGAGATAACGTTAGGCACCCATAGTGGCTTCCGCCCATGGACTGAAATTCTGAGAATCAGAAGATAGAAAGGGTGATTGATAGGAGGAGGAGGACCCATGGTTGAGAGAAGACAAGGGGGGGATTAAGATAAATAAGAGGGGAGATATTATTGAGATGGGGACCAAAGGTCACATATCACCAACTTCCCTTAGCATTTGAGATAAGGCAAATGATTTAATTGACCATTTTCGATGAGTATTATACAAGAGATGGAGACTTGTAGTCCTACCCTACCGATTACCAAACCCTTCAATGGGAACTATTAATTGGGCAATTAGCATTCATCTTTCCACATTTTGAGTGGAAAAGCTTTAATTACAAGAAAGCAATGTAGAAAAAGAATCCTAAGCTGGGGTTTATACCAAAGATATTTCATTCAATCCTTCTTTATTAAGTACGACAAAGAACAATTAAAAAATTATATTTTTTAAGATAATTTTGTAGTTTTTTCCTTTTTCATTAGGTTGTTAATTTTGCTTAATAAAATTACAAAAAAAAACCTTTAAATGTAAATAGATAAGTTAATTTTAAATTAAAGGTAATTTGATCATTTTCATGGGTAAAATTAACAATCTAATTTCTTGTGGAAATAAAAATAATCTACAAGATGCTAAATTGAAAAAAAAAATCAAAGAGTGGCATGTGAAAAAAAAAAAGTTACAATAAGAAAACATTGTGGGGGGAGTTTACCCTAAATGAATTTTACTAATAACTGTTTTTCAAGGCACTTCTAAAATTATCATATTAAATAAATCTTCTCCTTTAAGAATGCATCTTATTAATTGTCAATTATTATATTTTACTATAAAAATATCAACATAAATAATAATTCAACTACTTTTAAAAATACTCTTCAGAAATTCCTTAAAAAAACCCATATATATTAGGTTTGGGTTTATGAATTGTTTTCTTCACAATCTCTAACTTTTACCATGAAGTCAAAAATTTAATACGAATAGAATCTATTAAAAAAATAATTTAATCCGATGAGATTGATGATAGCACAATGGAATGCGGTATACTTAATTAAAACAAATAAATACTTGATCTCGTATTAGTCTTAATCCCATCTTAATACTTTTTCAATTAATGACTCTAATTCACGAGGTTTACATTACATCAATCTGAATAATATAATACCAAAATTATTAATTAAAAATAAAAATAAAAAAATGCGGACAGCTTCTACCAAAAAATTGTGTGAATCAATGTGAACATTGACTGTATAAAAATAAATACATTTTTTAATATATAAAAATGAAAATTGCAAATTTAATATGCTAACTAATAAAATTATCTGTAAAATATTTAAAAATATAAATAAATAAATTATTATAATATAAGATATTTCATTAAAAAAATGAAAGGAAAAGACAGATTGATCTTTTTCTTTACCAATACAACCAACTCCGCCTGTTTGACATGGCACACCTTTTTGGTCTTGCTATTAATAAAATAAATAATAATAAATTAATAATTGTCATAACAATTGTCAATTAATATTGCTTTTTGAATTATTTTATTTTTGGGTGACATTATAGCCTTTGCTCAAAAGCAAAATTAGGTAGGAAACATTGAGGAGCCAGTACATTTACTCTCAATATATATTTTTCAATCCTCACTTTTTTTTTTGATTTACCAACTACTAGTATTTATTAATATTCCTTATTTGTTAAAATTGACAGGAAAAATAAGTAAAAATACAATTTTTGGTAAAACAATTTACCTTAATACCTAAAAATATAATTTGAAATTCATTGATTGGTTCGTCCTGGTTTAAATTATTTTAAAATTATATTAAAACGTGAGAGTTTAGATGGTTTTTTAAAATAATATTATCAATACGTTTAAATATGTAGTTTTAATTGTATAATTTTAAAATATTATGAGGTAAGTTTGATATTAATAAATGTTAAAATTTCATTTTTACAATGATTTTAAAATAAATTAAACTCAAAAAATTATTGTGTAAGTTTAGAAATAAATTAAAAGAGGTAGGTTTTGAATATTTCCAAAAAAAAAGCCTTCTTTACAAAAGGCGGAGCCAGACAATTTCCTCCTCATAAAAGCCGCCTCTTTCATATTAGTTCTCACTCCCTGTGTTGAAAGTCTAAACAAACGCTGGATAACTTCTGAACCCAATTTTCAATCCAAATCCCAAAGCCACCTCTTTAAGCAAATCCTCTAGAAAACAACAAAAACCCAACAATCTCCTAAGTTTCTTACAACCCTTTTTTTCAAGATTTCATGCAAAATATAAGGAGCTAGACATTGTCACCAACTATCTTAGGCTTTGTTGTAGTTTTTGACGTTATTCATGACAATAAAGTGCATTGCCAGGCTAAGGTCACGCCGGGTGGTTCAAGACCAACTGGATGGTTCAGACCAAGAGGCGGTTGGCGGTGGTTGCTGCTGGGCCAACCTGCCTCAAGAACTGTTAAGGGAAGTTCTGTTAAGGATTGAAGACTCTGAAAGTATTTGGCCTCAAAGAAAGAACGTGGTAGCTTGTGCTGGTGTTTGCAGGAGTTGGCGGCTTATCGTTACAGAGATCGTTAAGGTTCCTGAACTTTCAGGAAAATTAACTTTTCCCATCTCAGTTAAACAGGTTTTCAACCTTTAACTTCCTTACTGTTTTCTGTCTCCCTCTGTTCTTGTCTGAAAATCACGGTTTCCAATCACTTGCTTGCTTGTGAATAAAAATTGTTCTTTAATTTTTTTTCTTTCATTTTTTAAAGTTTTTCAGAGCTATGATTGAATGAAGATTGTAGCTTGAAGTTGAATTACTGTGGTTGTATCCAATCCTCTGTTTGGAAACAGGGTCATTTGAATATGGCTGCTAATGTTTTAGTCTTTCCTGTGTATTTTTCTTTGTTTAAAACCTTCATTTAAGGGTTGGAAAGATTTTCTACTGTTCTGGTTTGCCAAAAGAATGTTTTTTTAAGCATTTCAAAGTGATGATAAATCCAATTATGCTAATGTCTTCTGCATTCTGCGGATTCTAAAAGTGCAAGAACAAATTTCCTTTTACTTTCCTGGGAGTCTTGTGCTGAGATTTGTTTCCCAATTTTTATGCCTGGTGATCTGATTTGTAGTCTAATTTCCTTGTTTGGATTGAAGATAAAAGAGATAAATTTGATTCGATGCCTTCCTTTCTCAATAAATGTACCTTCGAACTGCACAAATTAGACAACTTCTTGGAGAATCTTATCCTATCAGTCTGCTTTTGGAGATGCAATGGTAATTTGGGGGAAATTTGCTTCTTCAAAGATAGTTTTGAGCCATTTTTGTCTATTGGATATTGACAACCAGACTGAGCAATTTTACAATCAATAAGTGCTCGGGGACCATCATGACTGCCTAATCATTTTGCCCTTTATGTGGTAAACTTACTCGATAAACTTCCACTAAGACTGGTTCAGGATTTGGGACCACTTTCAGCTTCAACCAGTGTGGGCTAACAGTAATCACTAGCTAGCTAGCTACCTTTCTGGGCTAACAGCCCTTTATGTGCTGTTCTTTCTCTGTCCCCAAGTGCTACCACCCCAATCCCCAAAGCCCCAACAAGGCCTCTTTCTTTAATTGTCATTTTGCTTTCCATTATGTATGTACTGTATTTATTGGGTTAAAGATCTTGTGTGAACCTAATAAGTCTTTTAATGGAATCGTTTTGATTTTGAAATTTTCATGGTGAGCAATTCACATGCAAACTTGTGTTGGATTGTCTGCAGCCTGGTCCAAAGGATTGTCTCCTCCAGTGCTTTATAAAGCGGAATCGATCTACCCAAACATATCACCTTTACCTTGGTTTAACTAATGGTGAGCACATTTTCTGTCTTTTATTTGTTTTTGTGGTTCCTCTGCCTGTTCAATCAAAGCTGTTGATGTATTTCAAAACAACTAATCATGCTTGTTGCATTATGACTGGACAGTGATTTCATTGACAACATATCTTCATATAGTTTTTCCTTCATGAGCTTGAACACTTGGTGATTTTTGTTTTTCTTTCTGTGACAGCACTAACCGATGATGGAAAGTTCCTTCTTGCTGCCCGTAAGTCTAGGCGTCCTACTTGCACAGATTATATCATCTCTATACGGGCAGAAGATATGTCAAAGGGGAGCAGTACTTATGTTGGGAAATTGAGGTGAGCTGTGAGCTATGACTAATGAGATGATATCGAATTTGTTCTGTTTTTTGTCTTATCTTGTAGGCTCAAATCTTATATCTTTCTTTCCTTTTGGCAAGATCAAATTTTTTAGGGACAAAGTTCACTGTCTTTGATGGACAGCCTCCTCATGCTGGTGCAAAGATGACCAAAAGTCGCTCCTCTAGGCTAGCAAATTTGAAACAAGTTTCACCAAGAGTCCCTTTCGGAAACTACCCCATCACTCACATTTCATATGAATTGAATATGTTGGGTTCAAGGTGAGAGTTTCCCCGTATTTTGCTCAAGGAATTGATAATTTCTGGTTCTCTCTGTCATGTGGGGAATCATAGAGTGCCAATTCCCCAAACCCATGGTGTTCTTTCATTATTGATTTAGCTCAGGCATTAATTTCTCTGTGAACTTCCACATTCCTGTAGTTGATGCAAATATGTTTTATGACTTCCAGGGGTCCAAGGAAAATGCAGTGTATTATGGATTCCATCCCTGCCACTTCGATAGGACCAGGAGGAGTAGCCCCCACCCAGGCTGAGTTTTCTTTCAGCAAGGTGGATCTATTTCCATCGATCCCAATCTTTCATTCAAAATCAGCTGGCATGGAGAATTTTCTATCAGGACCTTTATCTGGTCAAAAGGATGGTGCACTGGTGTTGAGAAATAAGGCTCCAAGGTGGCATGAGCAACTCCAGTGTTGGTGCTTGAATTTCCATGGACGAGTGACAGTTGCTTCAGTGAAAAACTTTCAACTGGTGGCTTCTCCGGAAAATGGACCAGCTGGGCGGGAGCATGAGAAGATTATCCTCCAGTTTGGAAAAGTGGGGAAGGATTTATTTACCATGGATTACCGGTATCCAATCTCAGCATTCCAAGCGTTTGCTATCTGCCTCAGCAGCTTTGACACAAAGATCGCTTGTGAATGAATGATGCATGATTGTCAACAGGTTTGTATTTAATTATCTGAAAAAGTAACTAGCCGCAGTGCCAGCTTAACTTTTCATCTTCTCTACCCATGTTTTTAATTCCTGAATCAACCAGCTAAAATATCTGCAATTGTTTCAAGAGGGTGATTGGTGGGCATTTTTGATCCGTAATGTTTAACAGTAACCATGACAATTGATTGCTCATCCAACCGATGATTATGAGCTCTGATGTGTCAGGCTAACTACTAAGTAGTAATACATACAAATTACCATGCACACCATAGTTATCGAAATCTATGAATAATACTAATATGTTTTCCTATTTTTCCCAGGAGCAGGGATGTATGAAGATTGGTGCAATAAGATTGAAGGTGAAGGAGATACAAGTGCTGGTGTTTTGCTGGGGTTGAAGTGGAAAGAAAGCTTCTAATCATCTCAAGGACCATTAACATGACAACTCGGATTTTGGATTTGCTCAAATTATGCGAAAGAATTAGAAGTTACAGGGAGTTAGTACAGTGGAAATTCCTTGGTTGGCAAGTTCTATTTATTTTCTTCAGTTTTGTACATAATAACTATTTTTACAAGGATCTTCCTTTGCTCTGTTTCTAGTCCGCCAATGTAATTGTTGAACTAATTTGCATATGTTTTGGGAAAAAAAGTACATTCATTAAGGAATATAACCCCAATTATACTTTCTGAACTTTATCCTAATCCGGTCATAAAATATTCTAATCTTAATGGAATCGGATAATGCAATTTATCCAATTACAAAATCAGATCGGATAAGGTAAGATATTCTATTACAAGTATTCATCCACAGCCACTCTCAACTTGTACGTTGAACCCAATGTTAGCTACTCCAGCAAGTAGTTGGGAAACGGAGTTTAGCAAACTCTTAGAAACGGATATCGTTAACAGTAGTACGAAACAGAGGCCGTTACATTATTGTTAGATTATGAATTGTTTAAGCGTTGAGTCGTTGCTACTTAACTTTTATGAGTACAATCACGTTTGTTGAGAAGAGTCATGCAACCTTCACAGGCTTGAAGCCCCTTTTCCCCTGTTTCTAATCTTTCCGAGGAGGGGAGGACGCAGCCAGGGAAAGCGTGACCAAAACCCCCATGAGAGAACCTGAGTGTTGGGGGGTCAAAACCCATGGCTGCTTGATAATCATAAACATTCCACTAAACTAAACCCAAGGTTGGATTTCTTCTTTCAAAAGGGAAAATTAAACAGAATTGGCCAATACATTCGAAAATACGGTGCTGCGGCTCTCTCTTAAAAATACAAGCTTAAAAGATAATTGCCAATATATTCTGAGATCTTCTAGCAAAACAGAAATTATTTGCTTAGCTATGCATGTAATATACTCATAGTACAATCTTTTCCCCGTCCAATAATTTGGGTCTTACAAGAATACTATTTATACACAAATATGTCCTCTTAACTCTCGCTAAGCGGCTTGCATTTGGATGTTTGAGTCTGAACTTGTATGTACAGATTCAGTGGCTTCTTCGTCTTCAGCTAGCAAATCGTCTGAATGCAATTCAGGTTGACTCAGGCTCCTGACAAACTTGGTGAATGAAGGAAAATGTTCGGGTGAAAAGAAATGAGCTCCCATCCTCTGATAAGTGAACAAGTCCAACACATTCTCACCCAACATATTTTTCTTGATCTGCTGGAAAGTACCAGGAGCTCCAGAAGCCAAGTTCTGGCCTGAAACCTGAACCTTGTGCTTTCTGCAAGCTGTTCTGATTTGTGCAAGTAATAATTCAGGGCTCGAGAGAGATTCGCGTGGCTGGTGTACATCTGACAGATCCATCCCAGGCAAGATGATTTTGCATGAATTCCGTGCAAAAATCTGTGCAACTGCTTCATACCCATTTCTTGAGGCAGTGTTATAGAAGCCAGCTGTCAGTTCACAAGGGTGCGCCCGGGTTTTGTACCACGAGTACATCAGTGGGACTTTTCCATAGACATTCACTGCAGTATCACCAAAAATTGAAGAGGCAAGAGAGAGGAGACGATTGCCATGAGATATGAGCTCGTTTGAGTACCAGGAAAGGAAGAAGTCACCATAAGGACTTTCCCATGATCCACCATGATCCCTGAAGAAGTTATTTGAGTTAGGTGACTGATCATAAGTGGGGGCATCATGAGGACCACCTAGTCCCCATAATGGGTTTCCATTTGCTTCAGCATGTTGCTTAAGAAGGTTAAGCATGTTTAAGTCATAACATTGGAACTCCCCAACTCCAGTAATTTTGCCACTTTTGACAGGCTTGTGGTGAGAGGGATATCGAAGCTCACCATCAGGTCCTAGACCCATTGAGATTCCCTGAGAAACGACAATACAGAAGCCATTAGCATCAGCACAGCAAAATAGGGTCTAAGATATTGGCTTATTTAATCAAGTTATTCTGTAGGCAAAACTTCTTACCGTAATTGTAGAACCAATGAAAGGTGAGAATGCAGACTTAAAGCTCGCACAGAAGTCATGGTAAACTTGAATTGGAGTCTTTCCATTAAGAACAGCAAGATCATCAACGGCCAGTGATAGACTTTCTCGATAATGCTGTCCAGACCGATCCCTAAAGAAGATACTAGATTGGGATTCCCCAATCTGCATTACCCACTTGGGAAGTGGAATTTTAGGTTGCCTGGATGCGTGAAAGCAGAGTGATACATGAAGCTTGAGATCTGCTTTCTGGACCATCTCTGCAGCAGCAAGATAGCCTGACCAGTCATACTTTCCCATTCCTTCATTCTCAACCACTCCCCACCAGACAGGCAATTCAACACCTTCCACACCCAAAAGCTTCAAAGCTTTTAGTCCTGCTGCAATTGCTCGGGCATGGTTTATTGTATTGCAGTCAGAAACTGTATCGAGAGGCAGGCCGACAAATAATCTTACTTCATCAAGCTGCAAAAACCAAAATTTGCTATGATCAGCATAAACAGAAGTTTGACTCAACAACCAAATCCGGCAGATGATATTTTTTAAAGCAAAAGAGTCAGAGCAGGATCAAACTGTAACCACTAATGCTACCGGTTTTAGCTCTTTGCATCATAGGAAACATGCAATTGTTTATCCTTTCAATTGAAACGAGAGGGAAAGAAGATTTCAACGTTATCAGCCAGTATTTGCATTAAAACAAATGACTATGTCCACAACTTGTATCTAACCTTTCGATACCTTAAAGAGCATGACATTTTGCCAGCATCACATTCTATAATGAATGAGGGCCTCTCAATTGTACTCATTCAAGAATCGAATGCACTAATGAGAATATAAATCCAAATGCCATAACTCTGTCACTAAAGCAAGCTTAAAACTAAATGAACAGGAGCTATTAATTCGCTAATATGGAAGTAGTGAAAGAATCAAGTACCGGTTACTAAATTTCTTCACACCTCACCGATAGAACATATATGATTTATCCACATAATTTGCATTTGGGATATGGGATTTGTTTGATTATCTAAAATCTATAAAAAAATAAACGCCAACATCCTTCTGACTCAGATTAACAACTTCACCTTTACTATCATCAATTTAAAACAAACATCTCAATAGAATTATCTCTCTTCGACAAATAAAAAAAAAATAACGAAGAGCAAATACTCAACAAACAAAAGCAAAAACTAAATAATTAAAACTTACAGGTGTCGAGCCTGTAGAAGACTTAGATTCAAGAACGGCTTCGGAGTGGACAGCTTCCAACGTAAATCTGAGCCTAGCTTTCCTAAACCTCGCAGTTTGACTCTCAAAACAAACACTGTTTGGTTTCCGGGACAAAATTTTACTTTTATCATTATTTTTCCCAAAACAAAACCTTAAATCCCTGTATGCTAACTCGGTTTTACAGATCTTTGCCTGAGAAGAACTCCCAATCACCGATACCTCCATATCTAACCCAAAATTCCAACCTTTTCTTTTCCCACTAAAAAGAGAAACTCAGACAGAACTACCCCAAAATCTTCAAAAAAGAAAAAGGAAAATAACAGTTTATTTCTAGAGCTTTGAACAATTAAATCCACACCAACGAAAGACAACCCAAAGCTCAAAATCAAGCCTTTTATCTAAAAAGATTAAACCCAGATCAAAATTTACACCAAAAGAACTTCAAACAAAAACCCCAAAAAAAGCTCTTTGCTCTCAGATCTAAAGCTGCAATAAAAATCCTAAAAATATGGGATAAAATGGGTTGTGTGAAGAAGAATAAAGGAGGGATCTTATAACTTTAGTCTCAATCGAAATAGGAGACCTTTAGCAATCTTTTTTTCTTTTTTTGGACTGAATGAAATTTTTAGAGAAGTTTTTAGAGGGAAGTCAAGAAATTTGAGCAGCTTTATTCATGGCTTGGGGTCCCTTATATAAACGCTTTCCGCGTAAAACGAACAAAATTGGTGGGTATCTGCCACGTGTAAGCCTCATAGATTGCCAAATTTTCAGCCGCATAATAATACTTATATTGCCCTTTTCTCCAACCTAAATTTTATCATTATTCAATCCTGTTTAATCTGCAGCCACAGCCCCATCCATTTTAACTGTGCCAAATAATCTTACATGTAATCCATTTGATAAGTTAAAACACTCTCTTTTCTTATCTTTTCTTACTTATTAAGATTCAATTTCACAGTAATATTTCGCAAATAAAAATAAAAATCAAAAATAAATTCGAAATCTATACTGGATAAAGAAATTAAAAACATGATTTTTTTTTTTGAAATTTTGGGTTTTACAGGAAAAGATTGAAAAACATGGTGATGTGGATAAAATCTTATCCAAAAATTTAATAATTTATTGATATTTCCTGGAATAGGAAAGTCTGATCTTGTCAGGGAACATTGGCTTTCTAACCAGTTGAAGAGTGGATAATACAAAGGATAATTTTAAATGTCGGATACATTGTATTTAATAATAGTATCATCTTTTATACAGTCAACATGTTTCCCTAAATTTATCCAAAAGTACTCAGTATTAGTTTTTAAATATTTAAAAAAAAAATCTAAATCCAACTGCTAAGGAAGTTGGCAATCCATGTGGCCATTATTCCAACGGTCCATTGCATTTATTAATTATAGTCACTTGAAAAGGGAGAATAAGATAATCTGGTATCCTTGTCTTCATATTAAATTGTTCAAAAATCGAAAAATCTTAAATTAAAATATTTAATTCAATAGTAAGTGTACGTACCATTCATTTAAAAAAAGAGATTCAATAATCTTCTTTTATAAATAAAAATACTATAAACTTTTTTTAATATTAATTTTTGGAGAGGTGGAAAATTGGAGAAAGGTGGGGTTGGGTCAACACTCAACAACAGGAAGTGATTTTGCGGATATGGTGTGGAAAACTTGGCTGACGTGGAAAGTGGGAGTGGACACCTCATACTTCTTCTCTTTTCTTTTTTTGTTTATTGCCAAAAATTCAATGATAGAGATTTGGATTGGGATGACACGTGGAAGCTAATAAGAGGGGCGGTGGGCAGGCTGCTGACTCATGTCCATGCCAGATGGGACCTACCTCCATCAGGTTCTGTGGTCTTTGATTGCCCACTCTTACAAGCCACAGCTTAATCATTCAAAAACAGAGATAGAGAAGGACAAATTTGGAAATTTCATTTTCTTGTTTTCCCATTTCAAGCCAAGACTCTAAATTTATATGCAAATTATTTGCATCCATCGCCTAATTAACTCAATCAATACTAAAAATAAATCATAAAAATAGAAAAAACTCAATACCATGTTATTAACCCCTTTTTTTACACAAAAAAAAAATCATATAATCTGCTTAATTTAAAAAATTAAATTTAAATTTATTATAAATATTTAAATTCAAAATTTTCGTTCATAAAAACGAATTATACTTAAACTATCAAGCTAATGATTTGAAATCATACTTTCTTCCTTTGCTTTTAAGTTACAAATATCATGTTTAATTTAGACACGTCATGATAAGGAAATGATCAAAAAACACGAATAATATACGTGATTAATTAAAATTAAAAATTTAAAATATTAAGAGGAATTTATAGCACAAAATTATCAAAAACTTTTTACATAAGAATGGGATGATGAGAGTGGTAGGACAGCTTAGGTTGTTGGGTTGTCGATTGTCCTCATATTTCAAATTGGGAACAAAAAACATCTCCAGTTGAATGTGTGCAGAGATCTTCCCTTTACAAGTGTTTTTCTTGACGTAGTGGTCTTGGTGCTTTATGAGGATTCAATCAATTCAAGCACCTGTTTTCCTTTTTGTCTTTGATTTATCTCCAACATTGAACAATCAATGGACCACTTTGTTTGCTGATGAATATATTTGGAGGATTTGATGGGTTTGGTTTCAAGCAATTTCGTGACCATCCATGCCACTTGCTTGGTGCCTTTCAAGTCTCAAGAACCAAAACAAGAGAGAGAGAGGATAGACTTTGCTTGGCAATGGCTAAAACCTATGATGTGTTTACTATTTAAAGTACTTCACTGGCTGTTGATAGCTCAAAACTTGGCCTAAACTTTAATTTCTTCTATTTTTGAGGAAGAAAAACTAAACCTTATCCGAAAGAATTTTAATATATTTTCATATTTTTTTGGTAATTAAATTTAAAGGTGTTTTTATAATTTTAATAGATAAAATTAATAATTTAAATTTTTTTTTTGTAAAAATATAAATTGTTCATAATGTATTAATTGAAAATAAAAATGATCCACAAGATGTTAATTGAAAAAAACAAAAAACAGGAATACATGTAAATAAATGGGTCAATGCATATTAATCTAAACTATATAATAAACATTGAATCATTCGGTAGGAAAGAGATGTGACAATTATTGGATAAAAAAAAGAAAGAAACAGTAAATGATACTTGGCACAAATCATGGCTCACTTTTGCACCAAATAAAGCATCATCCATGTGTGAAAATTGAAAAGATAGGTAAACTCAATCCAAGAATTCTTGCAACATCGTTTTGGTATGTTTTGTTGTTTCTCCAAAAGGAAAATTTGCCACTTTGAGTTCCACAACCCTCACTCTGTTGTTTCATGCTGCTATAGCCTAATTAGCCCTTTAATTTATAGCTTTTTACTTGAAAAAAAGAGAAGGAATTTAACCTTTTTTGCTAAGAAAATGCTTCCATATGTATGACTTTGCCGAACCACGAGATATCCATGTCAATGGTGAACTTTCAAAAACAAACAACAGTCTCTGCCTGGAGGGATTGTTTGACTTTGCATCTTAGGTATTTTCGTCTAGTTCTCGGCTGTATATTTCATTTTGAACAGAAAATCTTGCTGCAATAGGCTGACCATACACACAAACATCCTTGTTTAGGCCTTTAATAAAGAGTTACCCGTTTAAATGAGATCATAATTAACATTCCGGTTATAATATATTATACATTAATAATGTATCAAATTAAATATTTTTTTTATTATGGGTATATTTAATTAAAGAATTCATGTGATCTGTACACTCTAGTTTTCATTCTTGAGAGCGAAGCCATCGTGGAAATGTCTCTGTTAAATATTACTTGGCAAGAGTTGAATGGGCCATGTGGAATGAATGATTGATGCTATGACCATGAATGTTGCTTTTGATTTTGACCAGCCGGTGCATATCCATTTATACTATAAACCTTTCAATTTTTCAGGAATGGAAATTTATGGAACAGCCTGTTGCTCCAGTCTCTCTTGGACCTGAAAACATGGAACTTTTAAACAGGGATTTATGCCCATTCTTGCCCAGGTTTGCACAGTTTGGTGTATGCTTGGGCTCTTCATTCTCAGGACCCATCAGCAGGGATGCAGCCAGGGGCGACAAGGCTAAAACCAGATTAAGCAATCTGTTTTACTTGAAGATATGTAGACATAAACCTGGACCATATCTAGGTCCTGAAGAAATAAGTTATCCACATCGAATGGTTTCTTCAAGATTAATCGGAAAATTACTTTTCTCAGTTTACCTGCTGGTTGCTTGAGATTGAGAACTTAGATAAGTTATGGGGGAAAAAGAACAACAATTTGTGGATATTAAAAGGCATATGACACGACAGAAGTCACTCACACAACTCTGGTGAAGTTGTACATGTTTGTCTTAGCGGGATAGAATGAAGCAGAAAATGATTTCATCCAACAAAATACTTTTGTTTAGTCAGAATTGGATGATTCATGCCTGGGATATCTAAGGAGGAGGTGGACCTGGGGGGCCAGCAGGAGGGCCTCCAGGCTGTCCTGCAGGGCCACCAGGAGGTATTAGAGGGCCACCAAAAGGTCCAGGTGGCCCACCAGGAGGTCCGGCATAAGGTGGAGCTGGGCCTGGTAGAGATGGAGGTGGAGCAGGTGCAATGGGCGGTGGAGGAGCTGGAGCAGGAGGTCCAGGAGGAAAATCACGTGGGCCGCCAGGAGGCCCTGGTGGAGGTGGACCGCCGAAGCAGTCTTGGATCAACCAGCAACAGCATAACGCATACAGACTGCCAAAATTTTGTGGGTAAAAGTTAAAAAAATGAAAAAAAATAAACACGAAGGGGTTCTCTTTTGGTCTAGACAATACACAGTAAGTCCAAGGAAAAAGTTTAATACTATTATTATGTCTATCTTATCATTCAAAGAGGAATTATACATTTTTATCTGTTTTCTTGTCAAAATTTCCATTTTTTGTTAAGCTATAATTGTGGCAAACGTTTGTTTTTGTCAAGTCATGCTAATGCATGCATACCGACAAGAAAGAGTTATCTATAAAGAAAAATGCCAAATTCTTCTTCGTTAGAAAGAAAGCTTTAAACAGTTTAGAAAATATTACTAACCAAGAAGTTACCCCACTGCACAAGCCGTTGAAGAAGCCCACAAACAACCCCCCTGGTGCAGGCCAGGGAGCTCCGGGACCTCCCGGTCCGGGAGGACCAGGTCCTCCAGGTCCTGGCCCAGGCCCTCCAGGTCCAGGTGGTCTCATTTTGCCCTGCGAGTGCACACGAGCAACAATGCAGCCAGTACCAGTAGAAAGCAGGCGGGAGCTCGAATTCTCAGTGTCAATTGCAGTCCCCTGAAATGGTGTTAGAGTAGCTTGAAAACAATCTCGAGAAATCCCTAGGAGGAGCTTGGAAACCGGTTGTTGGATTTTCTTTGACACTTTAGTATATTATATATAGATGGCATTGAATTTTGTCCTAACTTTTTTCACCGTTCAGCCTTGTCGTATGGTTAGAATCGGATAGATAGCATATAGTAGTTCTACCAAGGTTCAGAACTAACAGTCAAACCTAGCGACTGATGTTCTTCAACCTACCCTTCAGGCCAAATCTTCCAACTTGGTGTTTTGGTTATGGCAGGAGACAGAAGTAGGGAACGAAAGACGAAAGCGATGAGACAGAAAAATGCAAGGGACAGAGGGAAGCTTCTGATTTGCCCAACATTGTTAGGAAGTTAGATGAGGCGTGCTTCTGAGAATTTGATGGGAGTAACGCTAGCTTTGTCACATTTTGGTGGTTGCTGGTTGATGGCTTACAAGACATTATGTTCAGCTCCATTAATTCATATTCAATCTAACTCTGTTACATGTCAACTAAATGCTACAAATACTTGCATTTCAATGAAACTAATGAGTTCTTGGGAATTCAGTTTGATCTTCTAGGTTCCATGTTTTAACATGTTATGGAAAGCAAAAACAAGGCACAAATCTAAGATGAAGTTAACGTAGGAATGGTCTTTGAAACCTATTGAAACCATGTTCAATAGCATGGAATCGTTGTTCTGCAAGTAGAATTGAGAATATTAGGAGATCCCCACCTCCAGTTACTGGATAGGACCACCTAACTATATCCAATTGTAATTCTTTAAGTCAGTTCCACAGTCCCACACATTCTTAACGAGTAAGTTAAATCCGAAAATGACATTTAATGTGCAAATATTAACAGCACAAGCTGCGATCGGACAATAATAAAAGTTCTTGGGCATTCTTTATACGACTGAAAACATCAACATATATTACCAACCCATGCAATTAGTTATTCCAAATTAGGAGCATTTGGGTAGCATTCAATCAACAAAGACATTAATACCAGTTCCAATCCTAAATAGGGAGTTGGAGCAAACCACGTAAGGAGTGAAACTTTTACCTGGGAAGGCCTTGAGAAATACTTAGAAAGGTTAAAAGCACAAGATCAAGAATTGTAGAACAGATTTTTTGGTATTATTTTTACCAACCTAATTGGAGTTTTCCAACACAACGGAAGAAATTATGACAGATATACAACATTAGAGAAGCTTCTCACCATACAAAAAAATAGAACAAAGGATAGGAAAAATGAATACAAGATGTTTTACCTCTGATGCAATTTCTGGCTTTCCCGGTTGAGAGCTAAGAAAAACTGTGTATCATCAGCAACGTTTGTGGCCTCATGAATAGTCTCACAAAATCCAGAAGTTATCTTATGCCTTTTCTTATATTCGAGCAGAATTCTTGTCTTTCTTAGATGACTTCAAATATGCATGCCCATCACCTGACATGTGCTTCCTTCTTCTCAGAGCACCCACAGCTGCAGGATCCACCAATGGGCCAGACCATGTCTGGATTGGTGCTTTGGAATATGCGAAATTTGTAGTACTAAATGGCACATCAGGTGGATCAAAACCAGGATCTATGGGATGTGAAGAACCCAGAGGATAACCAAGAGCTCCATCTTGGTGAGGAGGAGGAAATTTCTCACTTTTGCTTTTTGCATTTGCATGTGTTATTAAACGCCTCCTCTGTTTACCAAAAAGTTCCAGTAATCAATCCAAAGTTGCAGCACTAGCTCAAGTTGTAAAATCGTAAACCAAGGACCACCGCAAGTGATAATAGAATCAACAGCAAGGCACAACATCATTTAGATCTTGATTCTAGTAAAAAAGGCCTCACCAGCTTAGATATTGTGTGTGTGTGTGTTAGAGAGCGAGAGAGAGGAACCACAAATAAGCTGACTCAGATTAGCAGTTAGTTTTCAAAATTAGTAACTTACCAAAAAAAAGAATTAAACGATTTTGTCCATTGAAGGAAAAAGTTAGCTCAGCCAATATATCTTGTCAGATTAAATGAAAAGTATTAAGATTTAGAGGGAAAAGAGTGCATTTATGACATACATCGAGGTTGGCTTGAAGCTCAGCATTTGCTTCTGGAGCAGGAAATGCCCGCACAGCTCGATCACGTGGACGAGCTTTCTTCACCCCATCTGCATTTCTTCCAGTAGCTCGCAATCTACAATCATGAAGCTCATTTCAATTCAATTAAGAAGAAGGAAAAGAAACTACTATCAGATTCATGCTCTATTGTAAACGAAACATATAGACAAATGTCTTATTGTCAACATCTGATGTAGTTTATCTTCTACTTTATTTTGCCGATATAGAAATAGTCATTACTTGATGAACATAGGCAATGTAAAAAAGATTTCTGAGTAATGCAATTTAGAAACAAAACCAATATCAAATTGGCTAGACTGTCAATCAACTTAAAAATATTAAATATAACGTACCTTCTAGCTTCTTCATCTCGTAGTTTAGCATCCATCTCCTTGCTGGGAGGATATTTTGGAAGTGTGGAAGGATCACAAGCATAAGGCTTGGTCATGAAGAACTGCACAACAAATGAATGGTCATGATGACATATTCAACTGAACACCAAAAATGTATAAGCTCCATGCATATTAAAATTCAAACGATATATAATTGAGCCTCAGACATGACAGAAAAGGTTTGGGCTAATCACTAGTTACCCTAGGAAAGGAAACCAACTGACTAAAAACTCAAGCATTCTTGATGAAAATGTTGAAAGATGAAAATTAGTCTAAAAAAATAACTTTCGCCATGGAATGTACATTGACAGGTGAGTCAATATAAAATTTATCTGATATAATGAATCACCAGAAAATTTTTAAATTCTGCTGTCTAAAGCTACAAGAATATGAACAAACTAGTTACACAGAAACTTAAAAAGAATCAAGAACTAAGGAGATGAGACAGGAGATATGTGAGAAAAGAAAAGCTCACTTCACTGTTTAATGCAGCTGTCGCTGTCAGACGCTCAACTGGGTCAATTGCGAGAAGAGTCTCAATCAGTGGCAATGATGATGGTGGAAAGTCTTTAAAAGTCTCTTCTATACATCGTTTATATGATTGTTGGGGCTTGAATATGGTTGCATGTGGCAACTTTGACTTCTTCCAATATTCATCAGAAGGAGAGCCACATAGTTTAAATATCTTGTGTAATTGCTCCACCTAAAAAACATTATATACAAATGTTAGCAGATACAATTAGTAGCATGCCTAAGCATTTACACTCTAGTCAGTTACTAAACAGTGAGAAAAGCTGCAAATAGATTGATTCCATTATCTTTCCTGAACAGCAGATCTACTGTATAACATAAAGTGCAATGTCAACACCACTCACATTTCACATCAAATGTACAAGATCATCATAAACAAAGATTCTTATGTGGCAAGTGTAATTGGAAAAAGATCTCAATGCTTGCTAATGGTTTCAATTTTTCAAACCAAGGAAAGTAAATCATATTAGTATTTCTTTATCAAGCCATTATGCTGTCATTGCAAAAGCCAATGGAACTTTTTGAGATCTGTAATAACAAAACAGCCATAATGATGCTAACAGAGTCATTGGTATAATGAAAATGGAGGGCCAAATGATGAAGCCGAACAGCCTGGGCAACTCAAAATTATAAATGGAAGGCATTAATTTTGATGGAGTTGATTGTTCAGCAACAACTAACTCAAAATTAACTCAAAATGAGTTAGTTGTTGCTGAACAATCAACTCCAACAGAGGTCATACATCCAAACTGGGGGACAAAAAAGTCCATAAAGGTAGGAGAACCAAATATCATAGAGAGCTAAGAAACGATAATTCAATATCAATGACACTTGATTAAGATAGTCAAATGCTGACTGAGGACTTCAAGACCATGAAGTTTATCTTGTGTAATGCAATTGCAGGATGGATAAACTCACAAAATATAGGTGAAAGGCAAGTAGGTTGGGGTAAAGTACAATTTATTTCTACTAAACAAAATCTAAAACCAAACAATTTGATTATAGTGTATGCATCTGTACACAAAAACTCCAAAATTACCATGTAAGTTGCATTGTAATAAGCTTTTCACAGTTGAAAAGAATTGCACAAAGGGAATATGTGCTAAACAAATTCTAAAATTCAAGAAGTAAAGCTACCTCTGTGCGACCGGGCATGATGGGCCTTCCAGCCAATAACTCAGCCAGAATGCAACCAGCACTCCAGAGATCCACACCTACGCCATAATCAGTGGCACCGAGAAGGAGCTCTGGAGGCCGATACCAAAGTGTAACCACCCTACTAGTCATTGGCTGCTTGTAATTAGGATCAAAAAATGAAGCCAAACCAAAATCAGCTATCTTAAGCACACCACCATCGTCAATAAGAAGATTCGAACCCTTAATATCACGATGCAATACATGACGGTTGTGACAGTGTTCAAGCCCTGATAGTAATTGATGCATATAACACTTCACCTGTCCATATCAACAGGAGTCAAACTCCATTCAAACAGACTTCGAAACCAACCTGAACAATAGCAAAGCAAAATAGTATACCTGAGACTCGGTGAACTTTATTGCTGGACTAGCAGCAAGTCCAGCCAAATCATGCTCCATATACTCCATTACAAGATACAAACTACATGACATCCTTGAAGTCACCAACCCTTCTAATTTTACAACATTTGGATGATCCAAACGGCGTAAAATCATAATCTCCCTAGCCATGAACTTAACACTTTCCGGCTCCAAATTATCGAACCGCACCTTCTTTAATGCAACGATTTTCCCAGTCAAAGTATCCCTAGCTTTGTACACATTACTGTATGTCCCTTGACCAATCTAAACAATCAAATTGACAAAAGCTATATGCATAAGTAAATACATAAAAAAGATCAGTAATAAATGAGTAAATAAATGAGGTTGTGAGAAGTTTAGATACCTTATCCAGCTTCTCAAAAGTATCCGCACGGCGGGGAGTCCAGCCGCTGATGGCTTCACTAGCGACGTTTGAAAGCCAAGATGGCCAACCGGCGGCGACTTGTTCGCCATGGACGTGTTTCGGAGGGTTGCTCAGGCGTGGATTCGGCCGTGAAGACCGCCTTTTAGCTCTTGCCTTAGCTGCAGCTGCTGATTCTTCCTCCGCCTTCTCTTCCTCCACCTTCCGGTTGCTACTTCCATTTCTAACAACCTCTTCTTCCTTCTCCGCTTTTCTAGTAACAACCGCCTCCGATATCCTCGCAAGCCTGCCAACTTCCTCTTTCTTTCTCTCTTCCCTCCCTACCGGTCTCCCGGATGCCTCTCTCCCAAACACACACCCCATATCTTGCTCATACCTTCTTCTCCTTTCCCTCACATTCCCACATTTTCTCACACTTTCTCTCCATCCAAACACAATACCCTAAAAGAATGCAGATTTATGACCAAGATTAATTAGGAAGAATGTTTGTCCTGTAAATGTATGTGACCTAACCTTTTTTCTCTCTTTTTTTTTTTTCTTGAAAGACAAAAGGAAAAGGAAAGACTAATGATTTTGAAAGAATGTTAAGGCTCAAGAGTCCCACAGATTGTGGCACAGTCAAACAATTTCAGCTATAAAAAGCTGAAAACAGTAAAATTCAACTCTCTTTTTTTCTTTCTTTTTTTCTCTTTTTGATTTTGAAGAATTCCAAGAGATTTAAGATTTTTTTTCTTTTTTTCTTTTTTAATTAAAGATTTTTGGTTCTGTTTCTACCTTTTTTCTTGCTCTGGTCTTTGTGTCTTTGACTCTCTTTCAGAAAGAGAGAAAATTTTTATTTCTTAAAAAGGTCTTGATTCGGTGCGGATGATTCGGTGTTGTGCAGAAAGGAAACCAATGAGAATATGCCGCGTATATAGGAAATGATTGTGAATTCATCCTGCGGTTTATGACGTGGGAGAAGATGGTTGGGTGAGATGGTGGCGGAAGATGATGTGGGTTCCACGTGACAATGGTGTCTCTGATTTTGTTCCTGATTCCGGTGGAGTTCTTGGCCCCGTGCTTAACTGGGATCAGAGCAATTGGCCAATAGAGGTATACCACGTGGATTACAAAGAAAATCTTTGTCCGAAAAAGAGTATATTCCATTTTTTTCACTGTCTTTTTTGTTGCCTCACATCACCGGTAATTGGATTTCACGTGGAAATAATGGATCCAACGAATACATTTGACAATTGAAAGTAAAAACATTATATTATTACAATTTTTTTAAAAAAAATTATTATTTTCATAAATATAATTATTTAATTTTTTAACTATATACAATTAAAAAATCATAAAAAATTAATTTGAAATGAAAAAAAATAAAAGTATTAGATGTTTACAAATATACAAAAGTCATTGTGAAACATATTAAAAATTAGATAAATAAATAAAGAGACGAAGAGAATATGTAAAGATGCTATTTTATAACTTTTTCTCAAATCATAACGTAATATTTGACGTTATAACTATATAGTAACGTCTTTAAGAAGAATTGAATTTTTTTTGAAAGATTGAACATTAAGATTCAGAATTCAAATATTTTCAATAATTAAATTTTCAAGAAAAAAATAAAAAAAAGGAGTTGTTGAAGTAATTATTGACTAGTAATGTAAATACATTGTCTTTAAGAGATGAACATAATAATTGAAATTTGATTTTGTTTTTTACGTTTTTTTGTGGTTTTAATTAACACATTAGCATGTAAAATGAAAAAAAATATATAAATAATAAAAAATAGACATTTATTAAGTACATATATACTCATACATATTATCGTTAATTGGTAAGTATTTGTATTAATATGTTTTTTATTGTGTAAATTTACCGATTTGGAGAGATAAGTAGAATTATTAGGTTTTTATAATTTCGAGATTTGAACTAACTTTATTTAATTTAAGAAAAAAAATACACTAAACATGTGCATTTTCTAAAATCATGACAAATAGCAAAGCTACGTAAATGAGAAGAAATCTCGATCCATGATACTTGCATATTTCAAGACATAGGATAGCAAAGATTCAAGCAAATATTCACTATAATTAAAGAGACCGATATAAAAATGCACCTAATTTTGCCAACAACATTATGTTGTCTCTATGATTTACTATAAAGTTCTAAAAATAGCTTGCAATTTGCTCGTGGTTTGGCTCGAAATACGTGTGTGTGTATATATATATTTTTTAATTTAAGAAAAAAGTTTGATAAAATATATTAATAATATAATTTTTGACATTTACTTTAGGAAAAGGATTGGTCCTGTTGGTTAACTGTTGTACCTTACAATTAAGTTGTTTGGAGACAAACTGGGATTTGGATATACATGTAGGAACAAGTTCGTTAAGGTTGGGTGAACATATGTTTGAATGTTTGCATAGCAACTTTTCTTCATTCATGTTTAATTTATTTAGAAGTTGGTACAACGAGAAGAAAATAAATACCAACTAAGAGATAATTCCTTTGCCTTATTTTTTTTATTGGAATATTATTAATTGGATAAATTCCACTTATGTCCTCTGTAATTTCAAAAATTTTCATACCTTGTGCCTTGTTT